TGTATTTGAATGCCCCTATTATAAATATTAATTATAACAAAACACAATAGAAAATAATGGCAAATATAATGTAGAAAAATAAAATTTTAGTTCCTTACTTTGTTTCAATCATATATTATTTTTAATTTAAAATAGAAGTATTGAGAACTTCAAGCCTTCGTGGAATCATAAGTAAACCCTTCTTTTATGCTGGATATTAGGCATGGAAATGCTTAGGAATGGGGTGGTATCTAATATCTCATGTAAATGCCCCAATTTTTTAATCGCTTTGGTGCTTATGCATAAGAGTGTAAATGTGTTGAGCCGAGCTCGAGTCGCCAGTGGCCGGAGCTTGAGCTTGATTGATTTTATCGAGTTCGAGCTAGAGCTTGAGCTAGAGCTTAAGTTTTCAAGTTCGAGCCTGTTTGTTTACTATACAAGAGAGAAAATAGGATTAATTTATGATACTTTTATAATAAAACGATAAATAAAAAAATAATAATAAATCGTTTAATATATAATAGGAATTATTATTTTTAATATTTTAAAAATAAAATAATTAAATTTAATATATTTTAAATATATTTTATATGAATATCTATTTAAACGCGCAAGCTCAGGAGTTCTTATTCTGTGCGGACACTGCACGCAACTATGCGTGCGGTGTCCAATGGAAAGATGACATCTGGGACAGTGGGCTCCACAACTTAAAAAATAAAATTGAGGCATGTTTATGGGGCGACCCGGCCCGAATCTGGCCCGAAACAAGTAAAAGTTAACAGAACGCCTGAAAGAAAGTTTATTTCATTGAAAAACCAAACGACACTCGAGCGAGGAGAGCACGGAGCACCTTCATTCGATCTTCATTCTATCTTTTAGGGTTTTTGAATCAGATAAACTCAGGCTTTTGTTCGTGTTCGCCGATCAAAGTAAATTCGTGATTTCTCCTTACCAATATGGAATCAGAGCCCATGTAGACAGAAATCGAAGAGAGTCCTGTGAGAATGGAGACCGAGGAGCCTTTGATAATGGAAAATGAAAAGGATTCGAAAATGGTGACTAATAAACGCAAGAAGAACGAAGTGAAAGAGCGTAAGAAGAAGGAAATCCAAGAAGTATCATCCAGGTAATATATTTTTTTTTTGTGATTTTACTTTCATTGACAAGACTTTGTTAACATAGTGTGGAAATTCATCCATATAGTATATAAGCAATATTTTAGTAGTTTTTGAGTAACAAATAACTCGGGTATTTAGCTTAGACTTACTATTTTTGGGTAATATTTGCGTAGTATTTTAGCAATATTTGGGTAATATTTGAGAGTAGGTTGAACTAAATATCTCAAATTCAACCAATATTACCATAATAATACCAGAATAACACTGAAATAAAACCTGGATTTTAATAATAATACCAAACTAACACCACATAACACTACTGAAATATTACCTGAATATTACATAAATAATACCAAACTAACACTACTTAACACTAATATTTGAGTAGTATTTGAGTAATACTTGAGTATTATTTGAGTAATATTTGAGTAGTATTTTAGCTCATACTTGGTGTTTTTGAGTAACAAATCACAAGTTCACTCAATATTTCCATAATAATACTAGAATAACACTCGAATAAAACATTAATTTTAATAATAATACCAAACCAACACTACTGAAATATTACCTGAATATTACCTAAATAATACCAAACTAACACTACTTAACACTACCTAAATATTACCAAAATATTACCCAAGTAATACTTGAAGAAGATTGAATAAAACCTGAAATTCATTTAAACAATTGAATAAAAATTTGAATAATATCTAAATAATATTATAATAATTCCATTTATACTACCTGAATATACCTAATATTATTTTGCATTATTTTGTTTAATGTAGGTTTGTGAACCCAAAGTCCATGAGTTGTAGATGTCGGTCGTCCGTAGTGAGAGATGTGCTCGATAAAGTCAAGCCTGACATATCTGACGACATCATGAATGAGCTGAAAATGACGATTGTTGATTAGTTCTTTGCTCTTCCACCTTATCCCCAAGACAATGTCCTGACACTGCAAATACTGCAATGTTGGCAACATGAAAGAATGGTATTCATAATGGGTGAGAAAGATCTGAGAATAAATCCTGATGAAGTTGCCCTTTTGATCGGCATGCCAAAAAGAGGAGAAGTGCCAAAGTGGAAGAAAGTTCCATCATGTGGTGTGGATGCCCGCCAAATGAAGAATGTTATGTTGACCTTCGGAACCGGGGAGTCTTCTACCCCTTTTAATCAATTTTATATAAACTAACTGTTATCAAGTTTCAAAGTTGAACGTTCTGTTGCCAGCTTAATACAGAGGGTTAAGGGTAGACGGAGCAGAAGAAAGAAGACAGTGGGTTCACCTTTCACTGCCTTTGAACTGAAGAGACAAAAAATAACTGGTGAAGTCGATGAGGTGATGATACCCGAGGAAGACGTTGTTGTACATACCACCACCATAGTAGAAGAACAAAAAAATCCTGAAGAACCAATAATAGACCCTGTAGCAGAGATGGGTCTTCAAATAATTGTATTTTCTGGTGTACATACGAACCTTAACGTAGAGGGACAACACAGAGTTGAAGATGAAGCTGTAGAAGGATCACCTGTCATAGCAGTAACAACTCAAGGAGATGTAGCAGATGTTGTTAATGTGTTATTTGGAATTTATTTTTTGATACATTGTCTTATATCATCTAAATTACTTGTGTATTTCAGATGAGCAGGTGATGTGACATAATTTTTTTGGAGAGCAGATGTTGTTAATGTGTTATTTGGATCATGGCTGGACAACCAGTCCTTGTGTCCCCTTTTCTGTACTTCACCGCCACATTGTTATTCAATTCTTTCTTAAAACCAGCCTTGTCACAAATGAAATCCTAGAGGCACCTATATCATTTGATATGGGGCCAGATGATTCGGGGTACATCGCCCCTGAGCCATTGCCACAATAAATAAAAGCATGGAATCAATAGTACAGCTGCTTAAAGACCAAGAAAAATGGTTCACTGAATTTCAGGGAACCTTGAATACAATAACTGTTGGAGTATCGAGTTTGCAGGGACAAATGTCGGTGCTGCAACATAAGTTTGATAAATCTGAAAATATTCCAACTAATAAAGGAAAAGATATCGGAATAGATGATCCCCAGCCAGCCTCCCCTCATGGGTGGAGTCCTCATGATTTCGTTACCCAGCATTCAGCTTCCGTTAATGTTACCCAGCATAAAGATTCTGTTGGAGAGGAGAGAATCCAGCCGTCATATATTGTCGAAGAAGGAACCCCTGTTGAAGGAGAAAAAGTTGAAC